AGAGAGAGAGTGAATGCACACGAGCAGGGGGGAGGGGCAGAGGGAGAACAGACTCCCTGCCAAGCAGGGAATACAATGCAGGGCTCAATCCCAGGACTCTGGGATCAAGACCCAAGCCAAAGGCAAGTGCCCAACTGACTGAGCCACCCATGTGCCCCTCTCCTGTGTTTTCTTCTAGATATTTTGTCACTTCACTATTTCAATTTAAGCTTACGGGCCATTACTTTTTGTGTAAGTATGAGGTATGTGTTGAAGTTTGTTTTTTTGTGGTTGAAAAGACTGTTCTTTCTGCATTGGATTTTCTTTGCATCTTTGTCAAAACTCAGTTGATAATATTTGTGTGGGTTTATTTCTGGGCTCTCTATTGGCACCGTGGGCCTATGTGTCTACCCTTTTTCTAATACCACACCATCTTGATGACTGTAGTTTCCTAATAAGTCTTGAAATTCAATAGTGTAGTTTCTCCAACTAGTGTTCTTTTTTTAGTTCCTTTCAGTTTGTTTTCTTTTCCGTATAAATTTTAGAATCCACTTGCCATTTTCTATCAAAAAAATTTAAAAGGCCTGCTGTGATTTTGATTGAGGATACAGACTCTATAACTCAAACTGGGGAGAACTGACATCCATACAATATTGAATTTTCCAACCCATGAACACAGTACATCTCTCCATTTATTTACATCTTTGTTGATTTCTTTTATTAGTGTTTCATAGTTTTCAGTATACAGATCCTTCCCATACTTTGTTATATGTATACTTAAATACTTAAGTGGGGGGTGAGGGGTGGGGGACTATTATAAATCATATTTTTTTAATTTCAAATTCCAATTGTCAATTGCTGTTATATGGAAATATGTTTGACTTTTGTATATTGGCCTTGTATCCTACGAACTTGCTAAACTTACTTATTAGTTTTAGGAATATTTTTGTAGATCCTTTGGGATCTTTACACAGATAATTATGTCATTGTCAAACAAAGACAGTTTTATGTCTTCCTTCCCAATCTGGAAAACTTTTATTTTCTTGCCTTATTACATTGGCCAGGACTTCCAGTATACTGAATAGGTGTTCTGGTCATAGATTCCTTACAGCAAAATGATCATACCTGTCAGAGCATTCACATTTGGTGTAGCATTTATAGAACAGACACAGCAATAGTACCAACATGATACACCTAACATTTAGACAAGCCAGTACAGAATAGGGATAGAAGAAAAGAAACTAACATGTTCTAGAGAGCCATTACATACATTTTATATTTTTGTACTAATTTGACTACCCATTTTCCCCCTTAATCTACTGCTATTTGTACCTTACAGTAAGTTTGTACGTTACTATTTAGCATGGAAATCAGCTAATGGTTAGCTAGATCCAGGTCTTCCTCAGGCCAATCATTTTCCATAGGTATTATATCCTGAGGAGGATTTAATTCAATCCCCCAATACATTTGACCATCGATATCAGTATTACCACAAGACTTATTTGCATGAGGAAGGTGAATTTTACCAACATCAGTATATCACAGTATGATCATGGTACAATTCGCTTTCATTACAGAACAAATCAGTAAGAATGACAGAGGTGTTTGCTTTGCCTTCCCAACAGAAGCTACCTTTGCCCAAATACCAGATATTATTAAGAATGGGCCTTGTTACAATTGGCTATTGGGTTATTTCTGGGTTCCAGGTTAACTGGGGACAAAGCCAATGATCCCACCTCATCTCCCAGGCTTACTGAGACTGGTTTCCATTCCACAAGTGGTATTTAAAATAGTTTCTATCTCTACTACCTATACTACAAGATACAATTTATTTCTACCTATCTTGGGGTGGATAAGTGCTTCCAGGGAACTTCCATGAGTTTGCCATAAGATTCCATAATCTTCCATAAGATTCCCATTGGTGTGCCCCTTGAGCCTCAAAGCTAGGACTGAAGGCTATTACCCCATGGCCACTTTAACTTCCTTTAACCTGTGTTAAAATAGTCAAGAGACTCTGTTGGGCCAGGGTGCAAGTCCTTTCCCTGTGTTGGGTGCTAGCATTATCCAGCATTATTTGTTAAGTCAGCCTGATTCACTCTGCTAAAGCCTTGTTATCCTTCCAGGCTGACTCCCATCATTTGCCTTCCTCCTGAAGAGAACTCCCTCTAATCTGCCTAGTCTAGTTAATGAATCTTTTTCTCTGAATATCACTCTTTATTAAAAACAAATTCCATTTGTCCCAAGATATCTAGACTGGCTAAGTGCTCTCGTAAGTCCCTTTTCTGTCTTGTGGGCCAGTATTGTTTAATCCACCACTCGTGCTGTTGCCATTGTATACTAATGGCCCAAGTGCAGTTAGGAAACAAGTTTTATACCCAAAAATGATGGGTCTCCTATACTGGAGTTAGATGAGAGGTAGCCACACCTAGATGTAATTTAGTCTGACTATGCCACAAGGCCTCCCACAGCCTTCCTTGTCTCAGGGTGTGGCCATTCTCTGAGGGAACTCGAACTCACTGCATGATGTCCACTACTTTAATCCCTTCAGGGCCCATTGTATTTCCCTGTTTTGCTTAATAGCTTTCTATCCACAAAAGCAAGGGTGATATGTATTTGTGTATGCGGCCATTATATATTGTCAATTATAACCAGGGACGTTTCTAAGAATTTGATCATCAGGATTTAGTTACACAACCATCTATCAGTTGGGAGCTGTACACCACACGGTTTGAAGTCCCAACAATTCTCAGAAATTTCTTCCCAAGTGATATCCTTTGTAATAGATATAGCCTGAAAAATAGGACTTAAGAGATATGGAACATCACTAGAGGCCCACTTAGTCATTAACAGTTGGTCTAGCTCACCATCATGTCGTATGAGCAGAATGTCTCCAGAGCAATGCCCACTCAGGTTTCCAGTCTGCCATTTGCCCTTGTTGGTGTCAACCTAAATAAAGGAGGTAAAATAAGGCAAGTTCAAATCACTGGAAATTAAGTTTATTTGGGAATAGCAGATGAGTTGCAATTCGGGAAACGCACGCCGTAGCAAGCGACAGGCAAGTCCATTGACTGCTTGGGGTTGGCTGTATTTATGGGAAAGGAGTGCAAAGAGGGGGAAACCCAGCTGGAGTCCAAGCACAAAGTTCATTGGCTTGAGGATGGGGAGAGGTTCTTTGTTCATTGGATGTTCATTGATCAGGAGATACGTCTTGGTCTTCTGTAAATCAGGCATTTAATGAAAATCAGAATCTTGGTTCTGTTCTGAGAGCACATGTGTGAGGATCTTCATGTCATATCCTCTGGTTCCATTTTAGATTGAAATCCTTTCAGATCATAAAAGCAGGGGTTCTCTCAACAAACACATAGATTTACCCTTTCCAGGCATCTGATATAACTGTGCTGAAAGATAACAGTATTCTCTTGCTCTGAGCCTCTCTCAAGGTATTACTATACGTTAGATTCCTCTTATTGCATAACCCACTTATTCATTCCTTTATCCTCAACCATTATTTCTCTTTCTCTCCATATATGTTTACCCAAACATTTCCACCTTTGGAAAGCACACCAGGTTCCGGCCACTGAGCTGGTCCAGGTTGCTGACAGCAATACTAGTTTAGCAAGTTCCTCTCTGTCAGTCCACTCCCATTCCTACAGAGAAGGGTGACACAGGAGCAGAAATAGTGGCTGTCTTGACCACGAGGCAGCAAGCAGTATCCACCATTAACCCCAGCTTTGCCAGATGTGGTCCAGGCACAGTCCACCCTATCAGGCCCTTAAGATTTCTGGCATAAAGTTATAAAGGTGTTGTTAATCCCTGCTCCCGGTGCCCACAGCTGCATCACTGGTCCTGGGACCACTGAATCAGATGGGAAGAAAGAAAACATGGTGACATGGGGAACCATGTAGTCACACCAGCATCCTCCCCCACCCACTTCCCCAGGTCCCCAAGAGAGTTGGAGGACCCATCCAAGGGGCCTCCCCTGAGCTCCCCCTCACACTTGAGTGTGAGCACACACTCAGGAAGGCATGTAAACATGGTGACATGGGGAACCATGTAGTCACACCAGCATCCTCCCCCACCCCCTTCCCCAGGTCCCCAAGAGAGTTGGAGGACCCATCCAAGGGGCTCCCCTTAGCTCCCCCTAACACTGAGTGTGAGCACACGCTCAGAAAGGCATGTAAACCAGCCCCTCATGATTTTATCTCCCCTGCTTTTAGGCAGCAAATGTTGCAACTACCTATTCCAGTTCTCTATTGGACAGTTACTCTGAGGATGATATATGGCATGATTCCTTTATTCGATGTGATATCTCTTTGCCTCCCTGTCGGACACTATGGACCATAAAGTGCATCCCTTGGTCTGAAGAAATGTTCCTCAGTGGTGCAAATTGGTACAGTGTCTTCTGTACCAAACCTTTAATAGTATTTTTAGCATTTGGGTCTACTATCAAATATGCAAAGCCCAGCCCAGCATAAGTGTCTATTCTGGTTAGGACCTATTTATAGTCCCCTGTGGCTACCAGCATTGGTCCAATGTAATCCACACACCATCTATGTGCACAGCCTTCCCCTGGGCATCTTTCCCAGAGCCATCTGCAGTCTCTCTCTTATGGCATTGTGTGTCTCAGAGCACACAAGAGGAAGATGTTTAGATTCAGCCCACCTATGTACTGCTGCAGCACCACATGCCCACTCACCTCAACGGAGTGCCCCAAAAGATCTAATTCGTGGTGTCAATCACCTTCTAAATCCGGAAGGGAGTCCTTCCAGTGGGGATCGACATGCCCTGCTTTAATGTGCCCCTTAAATTCCCAGAGTGATTTCCACATGGCCACACCCTATTCAGGCATCCCCTTGCTAGTCCAGTTTTCTCTTGCCCATCTACCGTGGCCCTATGGCCAGGCCACTGGCTACTGCCCATGAGTCTGTAAAAACCCAAACACGGGGGCTTTTAACCAGTGTTCAATTCTTGCATCACCGCTAGAAAACAGCATGCAGTTGAGCCCATTGAGAGATGATCCTCTTCTATCAGTCTCTCCATCTGACAGTCTTTTTTTTTTTAAGGTACAGCAAGTGAGCATATTTGACTTCTTAGAACATACATACTGGTTTTCTTTCTTTCTTTTTTTAAGATTTTATTTATTTGACAGAGAGAGACACAGGGAGAGAGGGAACAGAAGCAGGGGGAGTGGGAGAGGGAGAAGCAGGCTTCTTGCAGAGCAGGGAGCCCGCTGCGATGCGGGGCTCGATCCCAGGACCCCAGGATCATGACCTGAGCCGAAGGCAGACGCTTAATGACTGAGCCACCCAGGCGCCCTCCATCTGACAGTCTTAACACGGCAGCCTTTCAAACAGGATACTGGCCATTCATCTCAGAACCATCATCAATTTTCATCCCAGCTTTCATTTAATTCCATCAACTGCTATATCTGCATATGCTCCTAACCTAATTTTAGGCCCTGTTAAAACTCCACCCACAGGTTTTGGATTCCCGGTGCGCTGGGCTGCTGTGTCAAGGAGCATCTTGTCGTATGTCAAGGGTAATGGGCTTATTCAACAGGTGAATATCCTGGTCATCATAAAGCCACAAAGCCAGTCCCACATGGCTTTGATAGGAAGCTCATCTGCTGCTTCATTTGCAGTGTTCCACTCGGCATTTATAGGGGAAGCTGGGCAGTTCATCTTCTCAGGATAAACACATTTTCCAGTGTTTCCTATCCCGTGCACCATGCTGGCCTGGGGCACTTTTGGGGCACTCCGTCGAGGTGAGTGGGCATGTGGTGCTGCAGCAGTACATAGGTGGGCTGAATCTAAACACCTGAATAATCTCCTGTGCATTCCTGGATCGTGTATCATCCATCTGTAATTATTCCATGGTGAGCTGCAGGTCCTACCTATATCAACCCAAACATGCTCTTCCGTTCTGCAGCATTCAAAACCAGAGACACAGCCCCCAAATCAATTACTCTTACAACCTACTTCAGTAAAATTCTTCAGGGAGCTGATGATACCAATCTACAAAATAAGACAACTCCTTCACACTATACTCCTGCTTTCAGTAGTTTCTCAGTTTTGTCCCTACCCCCACCCCCATCTTGACAACCTTCATGGGAAACGGAGGCCTTAGAGCATAATTTTCCTCTTTGCAGGCAGCTTTGAGGCTAGTGGCTGAAGCTAGTGGTCCAGCATCCAAGTCCAACCCATCAGTTTCTTCGACTTTCACTTTGGCTGTTACAGATAATAACCAAGGGAGTGTATATTTAGCCTGCTTCTCATTATTTTTGCATTTCTTTATATATCTAATGAGCCAGCTCCTTGAGAATCAGGTCTACCCCCATTTCTAAATTCTATCCATGGCTGATCTCACCCCAGCTGCAGTTTCAGACCATGAGGGACTAGGTGGCTGTCCAGGGATCAAAGGTTCCTTATTCCCTGCCCTTCCTTACTTTCTCTTCCCAAGCCGTAAGTTTCTGTGAGCCATGGCTGTTTCAGCAAATCCCACTCCTCTGATGCCATTTAATAGGATCTGTTTCTACTCACAACACTTGTGACACCAAATGTGTGGGTTTTTCCACAGCAAGAAATTCTCCAATTCTCTGCAGATACCAACTTAGTGTCCTGCAATTTAGCTCAATTTTGACACTAACGACACAGAGCTAGGAGGTTACCTACACTTCTGTCCAACTTGCCTACAAATCGGGGGTTCCCAAGACCCCCTCTTCAACTACAATAATTTGCTGCAACAGTTTAATGGAACTCAGGGAAATACTTTACTAACTAGTAACAGGTTTATTACAAAGGATATTATAAAGGATACAAACGAGCAACCAGATAAAGAAGTAACCAGGGCAAAGTCTGGAAGAGTCCAGAGCACAGGAGCTTCTGCCCCCACGGAGACTGGGGTGCACGACGGTCCCTGCTCACAGATGCATTCACCAACCTGGAAGCTCTCTGAACCCCCTAGTTTAGGGATTTTTATGGCGGCTTCATCATGTAAACAGAATTATTAACTCAATCTCTAACCTCCTCCCCTTCCTGGAGGATGGGTGGGTAGGGCTGAAAGTTCCAAACTTCTAATCATGGCTGAATCTTTCTGGTGACCAGTTCCCACCCTGAAGCTATCCAGGAGCCCACCAAGAGTCACCGCATGAAAACAAAACACAGCTGGGAGGCGCCGCATGAGGAGGCGGTCACATCTGACTCAGGGTCGGGTGTGTGCACAGGGGGCGGGCTCTGCCTCTGAGTGAGCAGGCTCCCTGCACCATTTCCTGTTCTCTCCCCTGCCCCGCTGCAGCTCTGGCCTTGCCCGACCCAGCCTGACTGCGGCTTCAGCTTTGGAAGAGCTACAGAAAGATCCAGAGGAGGTGAAGGTGCTGCTGGAAAAGGCCTCTAGAAAAAGAGTACATGATGCCCTTACAGCTGACAAATCCAAGATGCAGACAGAAATCAAGACCAAGATGTAGCAGAAATCACAGGGAACAGCAGAACTTCTTGACAGTGAAAAGCCAGGTACTGTGCTTGCTCCCATCACAACGGGATAGACAGTGAAAATCAGTAATTACGGATGGGATCAGCAGATAAATTTGTGAAAATCTACATCACCTTAAGTGGAGTTCATCAAGTCCCCACTGAGAACGTGCAGGTGCACTTCACAGAGAGCTCATATGATCCTTGGTAAAGAATCTAAATGGGAAGAGTCACACCATGGTTGTGAACAATCTCTTGAAACCCATCTCCGTGGAAGGCAGTTCAAAAAAAAATCAAGACAGATACAGTTCTTATATAGAAAGAAAGCAGAAAACACACAGTGGGACTACCTGATTCAGGTTGAAAAAAGAATGCAGAGAGAAAGAAAAGCCCTCCCACAGCACTGAAATACATCCTAGTGAGGGATTGATGAATGTTCTAAAGAAAATTTATGAAGATGGAGATGATGATATAAAGTGA